TAATAGCAGTAGTAGTAGTAATAGCAGTAGTAGTAATAGTAGTGGTAGTAACAGTAGTATTAGTAGTAACAGTAGTGGTAGTAATAGCAGTAGTAGTAGTAATAGCAGTAGTAGTAATAGTAGTGGTAGTAACAGTAGTATTAGTAGTAACAGTAGTGGTAGTAATAGCAGTAGTAGTAATAATACCAGTAGTTGTAGTAGTAGTAGTAGTAGTAGTAACAGTAGTGGTAGTAATAGCAGTAGTAGTAATAATACCAGTAGTAGTAGTAGTAGTAGTAATAATATTAGTAGTAGTAGTAATAATAATAATAGTAGTAGTAGTAATAATAATAGTGATAGTAACAGTAGCAGAGTGGAACCGGTATAAACCTTGGTAATAAATACCGACAAGTTGGTTTAGAAAGACACGTAAGCAAACACTATAACATATTTATTAGAAAACGTTAGAAGTGATCAAGGTCCCAGGACCGAAACGTTTTCTAATAAATATGTAATAGTGTTTGCTTACGTGTCTTTCTAAACCAGAGTGGAACTACCCACTATTGTCTTCACTCTGGTATATTCACTCACAGGACCGCAAATCACCACCCAATAAACAACAAACTATACCCTCGCTGTAAACACTAAAAAAATAATCTCTGGAAATTCCAAATAGACCCAAGAAAAAAGTATATATGGATTTGTAAGAGAGAAAACGAGAAGGGGAAGTTATGGAAAGGAAGTGCCGGGGTAAGTAAGAGAAAGCAGGCCAGGGGAAAGTGACAATAGAAACCCCCGTATCATTGACTCGATATAATGTCACTGTGGATTTATAATAACATCATTTCCTCAAGTCTAATGTTTATTTTTATTTGGGGGGGGGGTAAAAATGGGAATTTATATTGGATAGATATTTCAGCGGATTTATCTTCACCGGATGAATTCTAAGTCGAAGTGACGTACTTCCACTGGAGTCCTTTAGTAACTTTATTTAGATAAAAGTATCCGTAAGTACAATTATCATACATATACATACATCATACATACATATACATACATCATACATACATATACATACATCATTCATACATATACATACATCATACATATACTGTAGTGAACTTAATCTGAAGTGTTTAATAATTTCTGGCCTATACACTAAGATGTATATATCTGAGAGGGTATATACACTGAGAAGATTAAATCCCTCGGTGTATATATACTGAGAGGTGTATATCTTTTAGTATATATATAAGCGCTAACAAACTTGTCGATATATATGTATATAATATATACATATATATCGACAGGTTGGCTTGCACTTACGGTGGCCTTGACATGGTTCTTAACCTTCAATAAAGGTTACTCCTCTCTTTGCTGTCTAGTTGCCCTTCGGTGACAAATTGTTCATTGACAGTATATGATAGCTGTTGGGGAGAACTATAGGACGTGTGGCAGTGGACTAGAGATGTGGTGGGTGCAGTGGGGGTGTAGTAATCATTGTCATTTGGCTGACGTTGATATCAATGATATCGTAGTAGATTTCACTCTTTCTAACTTGGAATTATAAGTAGAGTGGTTTCTCTAACAGGGTGACACTCACACTAAGTTTGGCGTCTGTTCAGATCTAGGAAAGCACTGGCTCTTGGCAACTGAGTTGTGGAAGAGTGGAACAACCTCCTAAGTAGCGTCACTGAGGCACGAACCTTGGGTAGCTTTAAGAATATGTTGCAGTGGTATATGAGTGGGTATAGGTGTGAATTGGACCTGTCTAGCATAGGCCAGTGGGCCTGCTGCAGTGCTCCACTATTCTTGGATGCCTGTTGATGAATGAACAGAAGAATAGACGAGGCTAATCACCAAAAAGTCTGTGTCAAGGTAACTGGAGGGAGACAAGTAAATAAGGCGAAAATATCATAGGTTAGGAGCGAGGGAAGATACATTCCAGCCACGGTATCGTAACTTTTTTATATCAGTAGACTGGGAATCGAACCGTAGTCCATGCTCATAGCACATAGCATAGTGTTTGGAGTGAGCATAGAGGTGGTGGATAAGCATCTTAAAAGTGCTGGCCGACTGTTACTGGTGCTGGGATGGATCCTTCGTCATGACATGTTGCATCCTAACACATCCGCTGACTCTATGTCGCTGTCAGCGTGACCTCTGACCCCCGTGTGACCTGAAGCCCTGACGTCGCTTCCTTCTGACCTCAATAAGTCTCCTATCGTACGATCACCAGTAGGGTCACAAGACCACGATCTCGCAGCGCAAGTCACTGGTCCCTACTTCCAACCCCCACAACACTGCTGGGAAGTCCACCACACCTTGACTGGTGCTCAGGGGCTATCTTTGAGCACTTGGAGGGGCTCTATAAATACTGTTTAGCACCATACATCAGCACTGTGAAGGCTCAAACCTTGTTCTAAGCGCGAATTATATTTAAAATATTGTACAAGAAGGTGAACACAGTAGTCCAGGACCATGGAGTTACCCACAGTTATCCAGGACCTTGAAGTGGCTGCAGCAGACTCTACATGTAGAGCAGCAGACAAAGTATATAACACCCATATATATATATATAATATATATATATATATATAATATATATATATATATATATATATATATATATATATATATATATATATATATATATATATATATATATATATATAATATATATATATATATATATATATATATATATAAAATATATATATATAAAGGTATAATCTATGTGATAGTGAACCAGCATTGATGTCATCAGAACAAGCATTAAGTCTCGAGAGATGTTACTGACGTCAACTAACACGATCTAAACTAAAAAAAAATATATATTTCTCGTGAGATAAAGATTTCTGAGCATCAGAAAAGTATAAACAACACGTTGACGTTTTCCATTAGTTTACTGGGTTGACAATCCGTCTTCTAGACGAGGGTCAGTAGAGGCTACAGTTTACCTGTGATGTGACGTCAGGAATATATCAATTTTTGGTGATGGGTTAAAAGAAAGTTCTCATTTTTATTTAGCCTGAGAGATATACACCTTTTAGTGTGTTTTTTTGTGAGAGGTATGCTACTCTTGGTGTATATACACTGATAGATATACTCTTCAGGGTGTATATACACTGATAGATATACTCTTCAGGGTGTATATACACTGACAGATATACTCTTCAGGGTGTATATACACTGATAGATATACTCTTCAGGGTGTATATACACTGATAGATATACTCTTCAGGGTGTATATACACTGATAGATATACTCTTCAGGGTATATATACACTGATAGACATACTCTTCAGGGTGTATATACACTGATAGATATACTCTTCAAGGTGAATATACACTGATAGATATACTCTTCAGGGTGTATATACACTGATAGATATACTCTTCAGGGTGTATATACACTGATAGATATACTCTTCAAGGTGAATATACACTGATAGATATACTCTTCAGGGTGTATATACACTGATAGATATACTCTTCAGGGTGTATATACACTGATAGATATACTCTTCAGAGTGCATATACACTGATAGATATACACATCAGGGTGTATATACACTGATAGATATACTCTTCAGGGTGTATATACACTGATAGATATACTCTTCAGGGTGTATATACACTAATAGATATGCTCTTCAGGGTGTATATACACTGATAGATATACTCTTCAGGGTGTATATACACTAATAGATATGCTCTTCAGGGTGTATATACACTGATAGATATACTCTTCAAGGTGTATATACACTGATAGATATACACTTCAGGGTGTATATACACTGATAGATATACTCTTCAGGGTGTATATACACTGATAGATATACACTTCAGGGTGTATATACACTGATAGATATACACTTCAGGGTGTATATACACTGATAGATATACACTTCAGGGTGTATATACACTGATAGATATACTCTTCGGGGTGTATATACACTGATAGATATACTCTTCAGGGTGTATATACACTGATAGATATACTCTTCAGGGTATATATACACTGATAGATATACACTTCAGGGTGTAAATACACTGATAGATATACACTTCAGGGTGTAAATACACTGATAGATATACACTTCAGGGTGTAAATACACTGATAGATATACTCTTCGGGGTGTATATACACTGATAGATATTCTCTTTAGGGTGTATATACACTGATAGATATACTCTTCAGGGTGTATATACACTGATAGATATACACTTCAAGGTGTAAATACACTGATAGATATACACTTCAGGGTGTATATACACTGATAGATATACACTTCAGGGTGTATATACACTGATAGATATACACTTCGGGGTGTAAATACACTGATAGATATACACTTCAGGGTGTATATACACTGATAGATATACACTTCAGGGTGTATATACACTGATAGATATACACTTCAGGGTGTATATACACTGATAGATATACACTTCGGGGTGTAAATACACTGATAGATATACACTTCGGGGTGTATATACACTGATAGATATACACTTCAGGGTGTAAATACACTGATAGATATACACTTCAGGGTGTATATACACTGATAGATATACACTTCGGGGTGTAAATACACTGATAGATATACACTTCGGGGTGTATATACACTGATAGATATACACTTCAGGGTGTAAATACACTGATAGATATACACTTCAGGGCGTAAATACACTGATAGATATACACTTCAGGGTGTATATACACTGATAGATATACACTTCAGGGCGTAAATACACTGATAGATATACACTTCAGGGTGTATATTCACTGATAGATATACACTTCAGGGTGTATATACACTGATAGATATACACCTCTGGGTGTATATTGAATAAGTAATACACACCTCTCAGTGTGTATTACACTATTCTTCGTTTTTTCTTTTCATTTTTAGAGGTTTATATTCGGTTTAAATTTATTATAAACCTGAACAATTTTCAGTCAGGTTTAACACGATTTAATTTCTATTTTCCAAAGTTTAATATTACCTGGAGGTTACCTGGAGGTTACCTGGAGGTTACCTGGAGGTTATTCAGGGGATCAACGCCCCCGCGGCTCGGTCCATGACCAGGCCTCCCGATGGATCAGGGCCTGATCAACTAGGCTGTTACTGCTGGCCGCACGCAGTCCAACGTACGAGCCACAGCCCGGCTGATCCGGCACTGACTTCAGGTATCTGTCCAGCTCTTGTTAATTATTTTTGTTTACTATACATTAAATTGTCTCTCATTCCTGTTCATCTGTAAAATATAATAATAATAATAATAATAATAATAATAATAATAATAATAATAATAATAATAATAATAATAATAATAATAATAATAATAATAATAATAATAATAATAATAATTATTATTATTATTATTATTATTATTATTATTATTATTATTATTATTATTATTATTATTATTATTATTATTATTATTATTATTATTATCGTAATTATTATTATTATTGTAATTATTATTATTATTATTATTATTATTATTATTATTATTATTATTATTATTATTATTATTGTAATTATTATTATTGTAATTATTATTATTATTATTATTATTATTATTATTATTGTAATTATTATTATTATTATTGTAATTATTATTATTATTATTATTATTATTATTATTATTATTATTATTATTATTATTATTATTATTATTATTATAGAAGGCTACGCTGAAATTGTAATTCTTCACGCATGAACTATTTTTACTCTGTTAAGTTGTGCTTTTCCCAGACGTGAAAGCTTCTTATGGCTTCTAAATCCTCTCCCTGACAGTAGGAAGAGTGTTGAAGTTTGCAGACTCCCTCCCCATGCAATACAAGAAAGGTAAAATGTTTCACAATCCTTTCCCTAGGTGGCAGGGAGGGAGTTGAGGGTTCCAGATCCCTTCCTCAGGCTACAGGGAAGGTGTTGTGGCATCCAATCCCTTTATCTAAGCAGGAAGGTGGATGTTACGATGCTCATGATCCTCTTCCAGACAACAAGTGGTATGTAAAAAGGGTCCTTTCACCGTCCTCTTTAATAACAATCTTTATTTCTAGAAGTACATGTACAAGGTATACAGATCATAGCTGACATCAGTGACATACTACTGTATAGAAATCCCCTTGTTACGCAGAGCATTTCGGGCGAAATAGGTCAATTCTGTCCCCATGATGAGACCCACACTAGTCGACTAACACCCAGGTACCTATTTTACTGATGGGTGAACAGGGACACCAGATGTCTTAAGGAAACACGTCCCAGTGGTACGTGAAATGCATCATGCACTTGTGTCCATTCATTCTTACTTAATTCTGATTTTACTTCCGTCCAACACATAACTATTTCTCAGCAGTGTATATGTCACTAGTTCAAATATTCTGTGTTATTAATAGTCTCATGCAGGTGTAGCTTCGTTCTAACATGTGTCTTTTTGACCACCAGTGAGTGTGTTACGTCCTCCAGGATCACCTTCAGTCCAACAGGGAGTGTTTTACGTCCTCCAGGATCACCTTCAGTCCAACAGGGAGTGTTTTACGTCCTCCAGGATCATCTTCAGTCCAACAGGGAGTGTGTTACGTCCTCCAGGATCATCTTCAGTCCAACAGGGAGTGTTTTACGTCCTCCAGGATCACCTTCAGTCCAACAGGGAGTGTGTTACGTCCTCCAGGATCATCTTCAATCCAGCAGGGAGTGTGTTCAGTCCTCCAGGATCACCTTCAGTCCAACAGGGAGTGTTTTACGTCCTCCAGGATCACCTTCAGTCCAACAGGGAGTGTTTTACGTCCTCCAGGATCACCTTCAGTCCAACAGGGAGTGTTTTACGTCCTCCAGGATCACCTTCAGTCCAACAGGGAGTGTTTTACGTCCTCTAGGATCGCCTTCAGTCCAGCAGGAAGTGTGTTACGTCCTCCAGGATCATCTTCACTCCAGCAGGGAGTGTGTTCTGTCCTCCAGGATCACCTTCAGTCCAGCAGGGAGTGTGTTCTGTCCTCCAGGATCACCTTCAGTCCAGCATCCTTTGAAATTTGCTGGACTTGCTCCCTCAGACAAGGATACAACATAAGGTCACTGGCGGCTTGTCTCAAGGTTGCCTCACTAACAGGAAATGTTGTTGAGCGGCTTCACCTAGTGAGTAGTAGAGTGTGGGGTTGCTTTATGCACGTGTGTGTGCCTGTGTGTACTCACGTATATGTGGTTGCACGGGTCGATTCTCAACTCCTGGGCTCCGTGCGTATGTGTGTGGAAAATTAGTGAAGTAGATTTCTCGCTACGGCTCGACGAATCCACCTAAATGTTTGTGCTGTATATACATGAATCTTCTGTTGAACAAGAAATGTTTATTTACCAGTCTCTTGCTACCAAAAACACGACTACATAAACATTACAGTCTGATCAATACGTTCAAGGAGAAACATGAAATATTCTGTGTGATAAATGGTTTGAAAACCGACAAGTTGAAGATTGAGATACTTATGCAATATATGGGGATCTTTATTAACTAAACGTTTAGCCACGTAGTGGCTTCATCAGTCCAATACAAAGCAGAGAGGAGTAAGGAGAGGAGGAGTTTGAGGTAATCAGTCCCTCCTCCTCTCCTTACCCCTCTCTGCTTTGTATTGGACTGATGAAGCCACTGTGTGGCGACACGTTTCCTTAATAAAGATTCCCATATGTTACATAAGTGTCTCAGTCATGAAATATTCTGTATCTTATGCTCCAGTATATAGACTTATGGAACCTTAGGTATGGCAGGAAAAATGTCAGGTGCTGATGCATGCAGAGAAAGTATTTCTCCAACATACACACTGCCACTCTTAAGAATAAAAAAGGCACAATTCCGTGACTGGAACAATACACAAATAACCTGCACATAGAGGCTGAATCTATGACGACGTTTCGGTCCGATTTGTACCATGGTTCAAACCGGACCGAGACGTCGTAATAAGATCCAGTCTCATATGTGGGGGTCGTTTGTATATGGATCGCCACCATGATTGCGTTAATCTCCCTCAACTTGCAGCTAAAATGAATGCCACAAGAATTTAAAGATTGCCTCAGTGAGGCAGACAAAAACAGTCAATTTTATATAAGCAAGACCACTCAACTTCAGAATATTTAGTACACATAGTGAATAAACAGGAAAGTCTGCATGCAACACTGCAGCGTCAGTGGGAGGTTAGGTAAGATTTATCAGGAAACAGGACGAGTGTTTCCTGACCCCAGTGAGATGCCTAATGTCCGTCTCGTTGGGACAGATTCCTCAATATTACACCTTTCCCAGTCCTCCTGTGTGTGATTTCTCTTGTCCCCATCTCTGATATGACAGAGATATCTTCAATTTCTCCTGTGCAGGGGATAGGCTATCCCAAGAGATAGCAGATTCCAAGTGATAGTAACTCCAGCTCTGCTGGAGAGAAATCTTTGCTGGGTCACTGTCGACGTAAGATAAGTAGCACATGTATGGTAGACAATACCGACAAGATGAAGAATTAGACACATGTGCGACATGTGTCTAAAGCCACTGGATGGCGAAATATCTACAAATAAAAATACCCAGATGTTGCACATGTGTCTAATTCGATATAAGATAAGATTTACCACACCAGAAAGTCTTATAATTGGTTGGTTAATGGCGTTTAAATCATGTCCACTATACGAGGGTCATTAAGGGTCATTAAGGCTGCATTTAACGTGTTCACAACCAGTCAAAAATACTGTAATATCTGAAAAAGCAGCTAAAATATACTTTCTGTATACATATACTGAGAGAAATACACCTCTAGGTGTATATAATCCTGTCAAATTCTTGTATTAATATTTATTAAAAAAAATACATTACAAAATAAAATTCTCAGAAAAAAATTATTATATCCTTGTAGTGATTTTTCATAATCTTTTCTTCACGTCTTTTTCGTAAAATCAATTTTCTCTTTCAATAAAAAAAAAAAATGATTTTGCAAAATGTAAGGTTTTCGTGGCGTCTCTGTGAGTGTGTCAACCAGAGCATTGTGTCAAACCTACCAAGGTAAGTCCTCTCTCTCTCTCTCTCTCTCTCTTCTCTCTCTCTCTCTCTCTCTCTCTCTCTCTCTCTCTCTCTCTCTCTCCTCTCTCTCTCTCTCTCTCTCTCTCTCTCTCTCTCTCTCTCTCTCACTCTCACTCACACCTGATTGAAGCATTTTAATTCTGTTATTTTTTTTTTCAAAGTGTAACGATTATTTGTAGAATTTAACACTATTCCCTGGCCGAAGGAGACTCGAACCTACGTATCTTGGGACAAGGTACGCACTGCTCTAACCACAGATTAGTGTTCGTGAATATTTCGCTTGTTCTACGAATTTTAAACACTAAAAAATCTCCCATCGGTCGATGCAGGAGATGAGACAGCTGACGCCGCCTACCTGAATGCTGGCTGCCTTGGACCACAACGTCTAGCGTTGGCTGGGCGCCAAGGTATTGGTCCAGTGTACCTTGTTCCAAGGTTCTTAGGTTCCAGAGATAGGTGTTTGTGAATTACTTGGTATATATAATGGTATATAAGGACTATTGAGGTTAGAGAGAAACATTGGTTACTAGTATATGTTCAATTTGAGGAGGACTTGCTAAGTATGGGCCATGTTGGCCTCCTGCACGAGCGAAACGTCGTCACAGTTCAAATTGGTTCCATACATATTCTAGTCGCCATCAAAACATATCTAACAAATTTAAGTTCAGAAAATTGTGTCAACTAACAGTCTTATCTAACCCAGATATTAAAGTGTCGTAAGAGAGAGATTAATCCTTTCCAATCTATCTAAGGTCACACTAAATCCAGTTAGTAAAATATATAATAACAATGTAATGTGCAATGTATTGATATCGTGATGTTAGGAATGATTTCTCCCAAAGTTATTGCAACAGTGAATTTACGCTCCACTTGTTTGGCCAAACGATGCTATCAGAATATATATATACAGATATATATATATATATATATATATATATATATATATATATATATATATATATATATATATATATATATATATGTATATCACTGAACTTTTCTAGTGGATGTGGAATATGCTACAGTATATATATATTTCTCCAGCATGTTCCTGCCCATATAGCCTCCTTTCTTCCCTGCAGTATATTCCATACAGCATGCCTCCTACAGCATGTCTTCCTCCCACACACACACACAAGATGCAGAAGCAGGTCAGGAGAGCATTACCCTGTGAAGTGTTGTGTTTATTGACCTGTGTGCGGCAGAGGTGTTATGTGATGCCTTAGTACAGAGCCTTGTATGTGTGTGTGTGTGTGTGTGTGTGTGTGTGTGTGTGTGTGTGTGTGTGTGTGTGTGTGTGTGTGTGTGTGTGTGTGTGTGTGTGGTGTGTGTGTGTGTGTGTGTGTGTGTGTGTGTGTGTGTGTGTGTGTGTGTTGTGGTGTGTGTGTGTGTGTCTGTCTGTCTGTGTGTTTGTGTGTGTATGTGTATGTTTGTGTGTGTGTGTGTGTATGTGTGGTGTGTGTGTGTGTGTGTGTGTGTGTGTGTGTGTGTGTGTGTGTGTGCATACTTAAGTTGTATTAAGTGTTTGGAGGAGTCGATTCAGAGCTCCTGGTTGTTTGTCCAACTCCCTGGCTATCTGTCTGTCTACCTCTGTTTCTGTGGTTGCAGGGGTCGAGTCACAGCTCCTGTCTTTGTGTCAACTCCTCCTCGCCCCGCCAGACAAATAACGTATAACCTTCGCCGAGAAAACCGTATCATCTTTCAGCATCCTATGGAAGCCATGAGATGAAGATGCTTAGTCGATACAGTTAATTGGATCACTATGATGCCATCTAGACTACATTTCATCTGCCTTAACTCTCCTTGATCTGTGTTCCTGTCAATTTGTACCGATTGTCTGCCTACCTGCCTGCCTATCTGCCTAACTTCTTATATGCCTACATACTTATGCATCTTTCTGACTACCTGATTGCCTGTAGGCCTGTCTAACTATATACTTGACTGTTTACCTGTCTAACTGCTTGCAAGACTGTATAATTATATGTCTGTCTGCGTACGTGTCTGGCTGCATGTCTGTTTGCATACCTGTCTGCTTACCTCTGAGGATGCACAGCAAACCCTTGGGGAATATTCCGATAAGTATCACAGTGTGTCGACGGTCAGGGTGGGATGGGGTTGGGCTGAGGGGAGGTTGTAGCTGTCACCACGGGGAGAAAGTTCATGAAAACACACCCTCCCCTGCTCCTCCCCTATCTTTCCCCTTCCTCCTTCTCCTTCTCCCCTTCCTTCCTCATTTCTCTAGATATGCGCTTCCAAACACTAGGTTCTATGGCTCCCTGTTCACTGACGCCGCCCTACTGGTGCCTTCTGAATCTGCCTTTCCTCGGGGCACCTTTGGACACCATCACCTTTCATAACTGAAAATATTCACAACTGACTCACAGACCAAGGGACTGACCTTCTATCAAGGCTGAAGGACTTAATTCCTTTTATCAAGGCTGAGAGATTGATCAACTATCAAGACTAAGGACTGACCGTTTTCTATCAAGGCTGGAGGACTATCACCTTTTATCAAGCCTTAGTGACTGACGACCTTCTATCAAGACTGAGGGACTCATTACCTTCTATCAAGGCTGAGGGACTGACTAACTACCTTCCATCAAGACTGAGGGACTGACCACCTTCCATCATGACTGAGGTACTGACCACCTTCCATCAAGACCGAGGGACTGACCACCTTCCATCATGACTGAGGGACTGACCACCTTCCATCAAGACTGAGAGACTGACCACCTTCCATCAAGACTGAGGGACTGACCACCTTCCACCATGACTGAGGGACTGACCACCTTCCATCAAGACTGAGGGACTGACCACCTTCCATCATGACTGAGGGACTGACCACCTTCCATCATGACTGAGGGACTGACCACCTTCCATCAAGACTGAGGGACTGACCACCTTCCATCAAGACTGAGGGACTGACCACCTTCCATCAAGACTGAGGGACTGACCACCTTCCATCAAGACTGAGGGACTGACCACCTTCCATCAAGATTGAGGGACTGACCACCTTCCATCAAGACTGAGGGACTGACCACCTTCCATCATGACTGAGGGACTGACCACCTTCCATCATGACTGAGGGACTGACCACCTTCCATCATGACTGAGGGACTGACCACCTTCCATCATGACTGAGGGACTGACCACCTTCCATCAAGACTGAGGGACTGACCACCTTCCATCAAGACTGAGGGACTGACCACCTTCCATAAAGACTGAGGGACTGACCACCTTCCATCAAGACTGAGGGACTGACCACCTTCCATCAAGACTGAGGGACTGACCACCTTCCATCAAGACTGAGGGACTGGCCACCTTCCATCAAGACTGAGGGACTGACCACCTTCCATCATGACTGAGGGACTGACCACCTTCCATCAAGACTGAGGGACTGACCACCTTCCATCAAGACTGAGGGACTGACCACCTTCCATCATGACTGAGGGACTGACCACC